CACAAAAAAGCATTGAATTTTAAACATTTACATATAGTCAGTTTTAATCTTATATCTATTCATGATATTTTATGATATTTATATATAATGATATATTTTTATATTTATTCAGATACGTTTTGTGGTATTTTAAGATGTTTTTTGTTTGTTTGATTCTCTGGCATTCACTCTGGTGTGTGAGGTGAGCTATGGACACGTCTGGTCTTTTACCCAAACAGCGACCTCACTGCAAACCTTGGTTAAGTATAGTGGTGCACGCCTGGAATCCTGGTGCGGGCAGGACTGCCAATGGGAGTCCAGCCTGAACTAGACAGTGAGTCCCTGCCTCAGAAATGAGTGGAAGGTGCTGGAAAGATGGTTCAGCAGGGAGGTGTAGAAGTAACCATCTTATTCAATAAGAAACACAGAGCCAATGCAAAGATGAAAGCCCAAGAGGTCAGAGCTAAGAGCCTCACCCTTCCTGCTTCAGCTATCCTCTCCAGCCAAGAGAACTACTTCTTTTTGTCTGTTTGTCTTTATAAAGACTTTCTGTTCTGCCTTCTCATTGGTTGTAAACCCAACCACATGACCACCTCGTCACTGCCTGTCTGTACAGACCTCCAGGTCTTCTATGGTTGGTATTGAGATTAAAGGCGTGTGTCTCCAATGCTGGCTGTATCCTTGAACACACAGAAATCTACCTAGCTCTGCCTACCAAGTGCTGGGATTAAAGGCGTGCGCCACCACCGCTCAGCTGTCGCTATGGCTTGCTAATAGCTCTGACCCCCGGGGCAACTTTATTTATTAACATACAAACCACATTTCAGTACAAATAAAATATCACTATATGGAGGTGATCATTGCCCTCCTGCAGGACCTCAGTCCAGCTGCCGGCACCATGTCCAGTGGTTCACAACTGCCTGGAACTCTGGAATTCAAGCTCCAAGATGATCTGATGTACTTTTCTGACCTCCAAAGGCGCGCGCACACACACACACACGTACACACGTACACGTGTGTATACATATGCATATATACACCCACCCACAAAATAAATCAATCTTAAAGAAAAGCGAATCAGAAGGACAAATGGCCATGTTGACCCCACCGTCTTTTCCCATTGTCTGATTTGTTCTTGGCTCCCATGCATGTGTGGATGCTTCTGGACTTGGTCACCTGTGGTCAGCAGTGGGCAGGTATCACACTGTAACTGTGAGGAGTTCCGGGTATGCTTCGCCATCTGGTGGGCTGGCTCCTCCCACCCCCAGCAAACTCACACTTCCCTTGCTCCTCAGGGAAACATTTGCTAGTTTAGTTCTGGTAGCTTTAGGCAAGACTTTCCGGTCAGCTTCAGAATTTTACTGTGAAAACAGATGTCTTGGTATTTCATTGGGGATATATTATTTTTACACAGTAGACTGGAGCTGATTAATTTCATTGTTGACATTAACCAGAAATCCATGGGAGACATCTATTTTGTGTTTGATTAGCAAATATGTTAATCACACATATTAGTGGGGTTTAGTGTGCTGTCTCAGTGTATGCATCTAACATTCAAATCCAGCTTGGCTTTATCCCAACCTCTAGTACTCAGTAGTCTGTGCTCAGGTTAACTTTTTTCTTAGCATCCACCTGTGTTCACGAACATGTGTCCAGCTTTCTGTGTCCAGCCCACTTCGTTTAACACCATGCCCTCCAGCTCCATCCATGTTTCTGCACGCTACAGGTTCTTTTTGTTCTTTATGACTGCTTTTCCTGTGAACATACACCATGGTTTTGTTATAAAGACACTTAGCATGTCCCTTCTCACGTGTTTCAATGAAAGCTCTTGGGTTTTATTCATAAGGTTCTTACCTTTCTTGCTAAGCTTACTCCTAAGTACTGTGAATTTCTTGTGTGTTTATGATCTTTCTCATTACTTCTGTGGCCTGGCCATTGAGTATGGATCACATTGGCTACCTTCCTGGATGCTTGTGTCATTTGGCTTGGTTTTTCTTTGGTCCCTTTGACTTTTCACGATGTAGCTAGAGTTTTCCTGCCTGGCCCACAGTCAGGACAAATCTCTCTCACCCGCCAGTCCCACAGCTGCTCAGACCCAACCAAGTAAACACAGAGACTTATATTGCTTACAAACTGTATGGTGGTGGCAGGCTTCTTGCTAACTGTTCTTATATCTTAAATTAATCCATTTCTATAAATCTATACCTTGCCACGTGGCTTGTGGCTTACCAGCATCTTCACATGTTGCTTGTCATGGCAGCAGCTGGCAGTGTCTCCCCCCCCCGCCGCCCCCCCCCCCCCCCGCCTTCCTGTTCTCTCAATTCTCCTCTCTGTTAGTCCCGCCTATACTTCCTGTCTGGCCACTGGCCAATCAGTGTTTTATTTATTGACCAATCAGAGCACATACGGACCATCCCACAGCATCACGACACCCCTCATCTGCCCAAATGCACCCCTTCTTTCCCAGTCCTTTTTTTTTTTCCTTTTTTTGGTTTCTCTGTGTAGTTTTGGTACCTGTCCTGGATCTCACTCTGTAGACCAGGCTTGCCTTAAACTCATAGAGATCTGCCTGGCTCTGCCTCCCGAGTGCTGGGAATAAAGGTGTGCACCACTGCCGCCCAGCTTCTTTCCCAGTTCTTATGACACTAATTGCTCCCTCTTCTCTGATGCATCTTAAATTGACACTGTTAGTGACAGCAGACACAGAGCACTACATGCCTTGTGCCTGATCTTGGCGGGCAATCTATTCAGCATCCACTGAAGAGCAAGCTGGGTTTAGAATGGACTGTCAGGGAAGGACTTTACTCATGACACTTAGTGAGCCACTTCCTCATCAGTGAGACATTGCTGACAAAATCCAAGACCCATTCCTACTTTCAAAACTCAATAACAAATGCTCCAAGGCTCTCCTTGGCTCACCAGATGCAGAAACACATATTGATTTTATTTATCTATTTGTTTTTCCTTTTCTTGTTGACCTACTTATGATTTTTTTTTGGAGAATGTGGAAGAATATTTTAGCTTTACAGTCATTCTAATTGTATTGCATCCAAATTTTTTTGTTCCCTCTCTTCATGCTAACACATGGCGAGGCAGTCTAATTCCACTACTCACCCAGTCAGCTGATGTTGTCCCCTCCTCTGCCTAACTTTTACTGCAGGTTGTGTCTGGCTCCTGAGGGCTGTTGACACCCACACATTCATAGAGTCCTGACTCCTGTGACTTGGTCCAGGAGGCACTCCCCTGCCTCAGGGCTGCCACGGCAAGGAGGCTGTCCTCCTTGTCTACTTGGGTCATCAGTATCTTCAGCACTTGTGCTGAGTCGGTCCAGACACTTAAAACCCTCTCCTCAGCCCTGAATTTAACTTGCGGCTAGTTAAACTCAACAGAAGGAATGAACTTCGTGCTCAGCCTTTGCCTGTCTAGACCAGCCCCCACAGACTCCATGTTCTTTTGAACCATTATCCTTTTTAGCGAGACACACTAGCATTTGACAGCCTTGGATGCCTTCTCCTAGATTTCCTTCTTCAGTTGTCCTCCACCAGATCTTTTGTTTTTAGTGTTTTATTAGTGTATATTAATTTTACAAAATAATGGGTTTCTTCTTGACATTCCAGGAAAGCCAACAGTGTACTTCAATCAGACCACACCCCACACTCCTGTTCTAGGTTGTTTTCTGTTGCTGGGGTGAAGATCATGACTAAGAGCAGCATGGGGAGCAAAGGGTTCATTTCATCTCACAGCTTACAGTCCATCACAGAGGGATGTCAAGGCAGGAACTTGAGGCAAGAGCCTGGAGGCAGGACCTGAAGCAGAGGCCACCGGGGAAGACTGCTGACTGGTTTGCTCTCCAGGCTCATCCCACAACCCCCTGCAGCAGCGTGGCACCTCCAACATTAAGAAAATGCCCCCTGACTTGCCTACAGGATGGTGGTATCTTCTCATCCGAGGTTCCCTCTTCCCAGATGACCCTTGTTTATGTCAACAGGAAACTAAGTAGCACACCCCATCACTCTTCTGTGTGCCTCCACGCCATTCTTGCTCATCATCACTGTTGCTTCACCTCTCATTAAGCTCTGTAAGCTTGAGCCTCATGCGGGTCCTCAGCCCTCAGACTCAGGCTAGGTGAAGATGTGCTGTCCCTTTTATGGCCCTTGACTTGACTTGCCCCATGCATGCTCCATTCTGTGGTCTTCCTGCCATGGCTCCTCCTACACTATGCTGAGATGTCAGACACAATGAGATTGGTACTGAACAGCCCCAACTAATCACATTTGCCATTAGGGAGCAGTCAATGCAGCATGAATGTGGCATTCTGTTATCACCATAGGTAAAGCTTATGGGAAACTATGGTGTCAGTGTGAACTCCATCTCCTTCATGGAGATGTTGGCAGTCTCCATGAAAATGTCCCATAGCCCAGAGCTTTGTATCCCAACCTCCAGCTCCAGGTGTTTGTGTCAGAACTTGGTTTGGTGACTTCATCTTTTCTTCTGTTTTCCTCTTTTGAAAAGAATGCATGGACAGTGCCTTCCTTCCTGTCTCAGTTGGTACATGTAGAGTGTGATGGTTGTACAAGTTGGTACAACTTGTAATGTAGAGCTGAGGGTATCATCTTTTATTATATTCCCATAGGCTTCCCTACCTTGTTCCTCTTAGCCTCTGCCCAGATCTGAACATGTTCTTCATATATACTTTCCCCAAATAGTCTGATTAACCTTGAGGAACGAGTCCCTGAGACTTTCTGATTAAACCTGAAGGATGAGTGCCCAGCACTGCTGTATTGATATGGCTGAAGTCTTGTGGCCTTGGATTTGGCAAGCAGAAACAACCTCATGGCTGACATCTGGCTTCAGTGCTGGCTGCAGGCATCTTTCTGTGTCGTTTGAGGAGAGGCCCCATGGTTCTGACATCTGCTGGTGAGCTCCTCACACCTGCTCACTGTGCTGCCAACACACAAAGCCAACCATAAGGACACAGTCCCTCTAACCGCAAGTCTTCCAATGCTCCTTTCCCTTTCTAGAGATGCCCAAGTGATTGAGCTGTGAGTGGCCAGCTACATCGAAAGAGCTTTAGGTGTTTGTGGTCTGAATGCCCAAGGCTGATGATGGATCATTACATGGACTCAGCATAGCAGCAGGGACTAAAAGGACTACACTTGGCAGCACCTCTGTCCTGAGGGAAGACGTCACTCCTGTTCTGCAAGTGTCTGTGCAGGAGGAGTATGTGACTCAGCATCAAAAAAAAATAAGAAACCCCAAATCCATATTTCCCAGCCTATGTGCCCATGTAGGAGCTGGGCAAGCTTCTACGAAAGCATTGTGTCCACATCAATGGAACCCCACCCCGACATGGCTCGTGAACAAAGCCAAGACTGCTTCCTCAGCACCGTGGGGCTACAACCATCTAGACTCAGGCCTTGCAGTCTTAGCTGCCAGAAGAATCCCATTTTAAAGACGAACCATGTAAGCATCCAGAGGAGCATGGAGCTGATGAGCCAGTGTCCAGTGTTATCAACAGAAGCCTGCCCTGGGAAGGGAGGAGAGGACAGGCCAAGCCAAAGTGAGAGGAAAGGCATCAGCAGCCCTGGGAAGAGCCTTGCAGCTGCAGCTCTTCAAATGAACGGGGTGGGTCCTCACATAGAGCTACAAGAATGCAGGCTGGCGTTGCTACCCTCATATAGTGGTTTTGTGGTGATTGTTGCAGTGTACAAAGTGCTTGCATGAAAGGCCTCAGGAAATCCACGTCTTGCTACTCTGGTCATCAACACAAGATTCGGGGCACAGACTCTGTGAACATTCCCTCACTTGAACCATTTCTGTCTTGGAAGACTCTGCTTTTCTGTTCTTCGGAAAGACAGGTGGCCGTCTGGACTGGGCCTGCTCAGACGGGGTTATCTTCATCATGTTGTGATGAAAGAGAAGCTATTTTTTTCAGAACAAAGTGCTGTGTTATAATAATGTCTGGAGTCCCAGGGTGTCTTTTGTCTGACTTGATAACAGTGCTACTCATTAGCAGCTTTTGCTAACTGATCACCTAAAGCAGTTACATGATACTCATAAGCAATCTTCTGTGTGTGAGATAGAATAAATCATCATGTACTGGAGCTGGTAATTGATTTGTTTCTTTTAGCAGCATTTTAATTAAACCATCTGGTTTGTGAATGGCGGAATCACTTGTGAGCGAAGGTGAATGGCTTTGGATTCTCAGTCCTTGTTTTACGTTTTCTGTGCACACCATGGGGTCCTCTCCACCACTGCATCTCATGACATATTTTCCAGACATGAGTGTGGTTTTGCTCCTTGCTCCACATAAAGTTTAACAAAGAGAAACACAGTCACGTGACACTTGATTCTGGGGAAACTCTGAGGAAGGCATCACTCCATGCTTCCAACTTTGGGTGGGTGCACACAGCATGTTTTATGTAAGGCAAATTAAGATGGCTATAAGATCGCTAGATGATGCAGTCTTATGGTACATTGTCATTCATGCAGTCCGTTCTTGACTGAAACGCCGTTGCACTGTTCTCGGCTGACCAACATTGTTTCCCCAGATGGCAAGAGGTTGCTGTCCTGGATGGGGAATCATTGGCAATGATGCCTCTCTGGCTTTCCCCCCTAAACTCCAATTCAATGGCTTCCTTCTGGAAGCTCTTCCAGCTTTAATGGAAAACTCTCAGGCCCTTCTTGAGAGCAGCTCCCAGAGATGGGACTCTAGACAACAATACCTCTTGACAGCTCCCCTTCTTAGGAGCAGCTTCCAGGGAGGACAGTAGCTCTTGGAGATATCGGGGGACAACCACAACGAGCCATGGTGTTGGGTGCAGTGTCTTGGGGATAGGGCCATTCAGACCTCGTTGTCTCACCCTCTCATTTGGGAACATTGTCGCAGAGTCCATGGATGAGGTAATCCTTACTTTGTTGGCCTAGGAGATCATGGAGTCCCAAAGCACACGTTGCCGCCCCCCTATAGCTCCTTACAGCATGGAGAACACCATGCTTAAAGACACCAAGTAACTCTCAGACTAGCTGGGGTGCGGAACCTGTAGGACTCGGTAGCTGAAGGAGGAGAAGGGGAGGTGAGAGAAGCAGGCGGGAGAAGATGAAGGAGGCAGGAGGGAATTCTGAGGCAGAGGGATTCTGAGCCCAGTAGATCCATGACATGAACACAGAGAAGTGGCTGGTGACAGCAAGTCTGAATGAGGTGCTGCCTGGGCTGCTCAAAGCACAGCCTGGGAACTGATTTTTTTTTTTCCTCCTGGGTCATTTGTCACAATCTCAGACTTGTGATACTAATTAATCAACCTTCAGAAATAGGCTTTTTTTCAGGAGCGTATGACTGTCGGATGACAAGTAAGTGGCACAGGCTATGAAAGCTGAGTGCAGGATTGTCACTGAGGCATCACCAGCCCAGCCTCCCTGGTCAGTGTATCTTAAGTCCAAGTGCTCATGGTCCTGAGTTTCAGCCAAGGCAGTGTGTGTGTGTGTGTGTGTGTGTGTGTGTGTGTGTGTGTGTGTGTGTGTGTTTTCCACTTGTGGTTCCCTGCCTGTGGAGTACAGGATGGTGTTGTGGTATTCTGCAATCAAATGATGCTTTGCAAGCAAGACAAGCCATCAGGGGCTTTCCTCGTCTATACAATGAGCAGAGAATTATGCCGTCTGTACCGTCTTTGGGTTAACCAAATAAGACTGTGCACATAAAGCTCGTAGCCTACTGACACTCAGGTGGCCCTCAGTCAACATGAACTATTACTTACCATTGATTTTGGTCAGAAAAAGTGAGACTAAGGAAGCTTCCATTTATATGAATGTTAATGTTTTAAAAGTTTTAGGTTTGCACATCTGTTGGGGAGGCTGTTAGCATCCCCACATGATGTTTCCTCCCACCTCCCATATTGTTTGCGTCCTCCGTTGGTGTGGTACACATGCCATGAAAAATGAACTGATTACATACGTGACTGAGAACTGAAACCGCACATTTGATTTCCTTGGCTTTCACCTGATGTCTTCCTGACCCAGGACTCCATCAGGATCCTATATGGCTCCTCAAGCTCCCCTCAGTTGCAGAAGATTCTCAGAATTATGTTTGATGGTTTGGACAGCGTTGAGGATCAGTAAAACGTTTTGTAGACCATTTCTTAGCTGGAATTTATCTGGTTTTTTTGTTTGTTTGTTTGTTTTGTTGTTTTGTTTTTCGAGACCGGTTTCTCTGTGTAGCTTTGGTATCCTATCCTGGAACTCACTCTGTAGACCAGGCTGGCCTTGAACTCACAGAGATCTGCCTGCCTCTGCCTCCTGAGTGCTGGGATTAAAGGCGTAGGCCACTACCACCCAGTTTATCTGATATTTTTTAACGATGGTACTGTTTTTAGAAATTACATTCTTATTTATTCCTTTCATGTGAGCCTCTGTGTGTACCTATATGCGAACATGTCACAGTGCATTTGTGGAGGTCAAAGGACAATTTTCACTGTGTTGATGAGTTCTGGGAATCGAACTCAGTCACCCAGCTTGGTAGTAGGCACCTTTACCTTCTAAGGTGTCTTGTCTTTTTGTGGCCCTAATATAAACTTCTTTAAAGCTAAGTTGGGAACAAAATTGAGTGAAATCATGCAAAAACTAAATGTTCATTGATCTTTGTTATTTCTGAAATATATAAGATTAAACAAAAAGTTAACAAACCCCACTTATATTTGAACTGGATAGATTCAACAAAAAGTAAGCCTCTATTGTTTAAATAAAGCAAATAGGGGCTGGGAAGGTAGCTCAATGCTAAAGAACATGCCTAGCAAGTATGAGGTCATGGGTTAAATTCCCAACAACCCAAATTATGCATACACATAATAAAGTAGGATATGATCACCATATGGGCAAGGGGGTGCTCTCCTCAGCACTGAAGACCAACATGAGCTTTAGGGAGCAACAGAGATCAGGGGGGCTCAGGACCTCAGCTAAGTAAGGGAATGTTATCCTCTCACCAAGAAAAGACTGGGTTCTTCCCATCATCTGTAGGTAGTGGTACTCTAGAGTCATCTGGGAAGATGGGCCAGAGCTGCTCCTGAATTTTCTCTACAAAAAGAGACTCACTGGAAAGCACTTACTTATAAAGCAATTCCTTACAATGTGGCTGCTATTTGTCCTGTATTGTATTTACATCAAGAGATGGCAGCAAGCTGTGAGTCTATCACAGAGGCTGCACAACAAGAAAAGAACGAAACCATGGCCAAGAGCTACTTCAGTGTCTCCTGTTAGAGTGTTTACAGCTACCAGTTCTGTGACTGTGATCAGCAGCTCTTCCCAAGGGGAGATGCTCCATGGACTCCCCCAGGCTGCCTCTCCTCTGCACGGCACAACATACCCCTCTTACCTCCATTAGCTTTTGGAAGCCAAGACCTGTCACCTGCTCCTGTAAACTGAGTCTGCTCAATGAGTGAGTATGTGGAACTCATGGTCCTCCAAAGGCCCTTGTATTAAATATGTGGCCACCAGCTTGATGGGATCTTTAAGAGTTGGGGTCTAGAAATCAGTCCCCCATCAATGAAGATGTGCCCTTGGGAGGGATAAGGGGACCCTGGATCCTCCTCTTTCTCTTTCTTCTTTTCCATCCTGGCCATGAGGTAAGTAGTTCTGCTGCCACAGGCCCACAGCAATGGGGCCAGCAGAAGGAACTAGCAACACCTTCTTTTTATAACTGTGGGCCAGAATGACTCTTTTCTCATCATATGTTGGTTTATCTCAGGTATTTATTAGACAGACAGGAAGTTTGACTGGTGCAAATAGCTTCACAGAAGTAACGAGTCTCAGACACAAATAAAATAAGAGTGATGGCCGTCTTACACTGGCTACCTCACTCACACACACCCCTCCAGCTCTCTCTGTACCTCCAACCATATCTTGTCTAGATGTACAATTGGTTTTCCATACTTACAGGTCTACATTTATGGGTTCAAATAATCATGGTTTGGACATTTTCAGAAAAACAAGTTGTACTTGTATTGAACATATACAGAAAATAAGGTATAATTATTCACATTACAAACTCTTACATCAGGTACTATAAGCAATCTGGAGACGTAAAGTAAACGGGGTGGTTGCATAGCTTATTTGCAGATTTCATATTCTTTATATAAGGGACCTGAGTATTCTCTGACTTTGGTACCCAGAGCTCCCACAGATTCCTAAGGGCATCTGGAGTTCCACTCACTGTCACAACCCACCATCACTGGCGATGTGCTGTTTCAGGGATTGACTTATTTACCCAGCAGGGGTAGCAGTGTGGACTCTAGCCCAGCAGGCTGAAGTGAGACCCTGGAGTGACTCTACTTTATCTCAGATGTCTCCTATCTGAAACGAGGTTGATGACCATAGAGGGCTAGGATCTTGTGATCACTGCTGTGTGTGAAACACTGATCACTGCTGTGTGTGAAACATTGATCACTGCTGCATGTGAAACACTGATCACTGCTGTATGTGAAACACCACTGATTATTGCTGAGTGTGAAACACTGATCACTGATGTGTGTGAAACACTGGTCACTGCTGTGGGTGAAACACTGGTCACTGCTGTGGGTGAAACATAATCACTGCTGTATGTGAAACATTCATCTCTGCTATGTGTGAAACACTGAACGTATCCAAGTTTGTAAATGATCTACACATGTGCCCTCCTCTAGACACTGTGGGGAAGACACAAAAGATAGAAGCAGCCCTTAGTCAGAGGAAGCTCAGGCAAGTAGGTAAGAAAGCATCATTATACAGGGGTGAATGGGATGCTGTTTGAGCATAGAGGTACAGAGAGAGAATCCTAACCACCAACATAGTAGCCTCCCACCCCAGCCTGAAGGGTTTTGCTCATAAAGAAAGAGTCCAGGGGATCATGTTCCCTGGTATGCACAAAGTTACAAATATAAAAGACCATGGCAAAACTAAAGGGCAAGAAAGGCAGGTGTCTGAAGATTAGAATTCAGGGAAGCCCATGGTTACAGAAGATCCTGCCATCTTGGGCTATTTGGCTGTCTCTATTCTGTGAAACTGATTTCATTGTTCAGAAATACATTAAGTGACTAGTAATAAAAGGTCACAGAAGTGAAGGAAAGATCCAGAAGTT